TTCGCCAAGAAGGTTATGTTTTCAGAAGCGTTCGAGTACTAGTATGTGTGTGTGTGTGTGTGTGTGTGTGTGTGTGTGGGCACGATAACTTGAGAAGGATTGTTTTGATATTTGGTAGGTGGGTAGGTCTTGATGAGACCTCAAAATAATTAGATTTTGGACCCCCTAGCGTCTTGTTATGGTACTGCAGCTGAACTGCCGGTTATGAGATCTCGTGATCTAGACATACCAGGGTCAGGAAATTTGGATGGTACGTAGCTCTTGTGCTGGGGAAGAAGTGAAGTTTAGGCCCCTAGCGGCTTGGTATGAAACTACAGGGCTATATGTTTGAAAATATTCAAAAGAGGATAACTCAAGAACCGATTGACGGATCGTCGTAATTTTTTTATATGTTGGTAGCTTACGTGATGTTTGATATAATTATGTGACAATTATGCAAATATGGATGCAATTTGTGGGGAAATTCTATAAATCAGCTGCATTCCATGATAGGACTATTGAAGCTTGTGATATTGGTAAGAACGAGAGAAACACGAGCAGATATTGATTATGTAAATGAAGACTTAATTTGCAGATTTAATGAGAAAATGTTATAATTCTGTAATGAAAAGTGCCTGGAATTTCATACTTGTGGTCTTTGAAAGTTCAATGAAGGTGAACATCATTAAACATAATGTATTCAAATCAGGATCTCATTGGAATAATTTATGAGGAAATGCTAAATGGCATTGTTTGTTAATATAAGACTGTGTTTTGGTCGAGAATATGATAAACTGACATAATGCATGAAAATGAGGATCCTATTTGTTTAAATCAGGGGGAATGATCTGTAATTTGTCAGTCATAAAGATTAACATCATTTGGCGAAGGTATGAAATCGGGATGCGGTATAGGCAGGTGTTTAGTGAATATGCGTGACCACACATAAGATGTGAAGTGGGTAGAATATGAATCAATTCGTTAGTAAAATCATCAGCGTCAGCGCCGTAAGCAGTACAGAGCGGTGGATTCAAACACACATGTATCTACTGCAGCATCCCCAACTTATGCGCACTTTGAAAGCTATCCCGGTATTCTTGAGAAGTCCTCGACAACACTGTTTTAACCTGGCCTTCATAGAGTACCCAGTGGAATTATGAGTTGACGTTGCAAACATTTCTATCCCTCAATCCCATACGGTTGTCATTTACTTGGTGCACTGGTGAACTTTTATTTTGCCCCATAAAGAGCTTTCATTAGTTTTGCGATCTTCGGTTTTCAAGTACGGGTGCCGTCTGGCAATGGTGAAAAGTACACCTGCGTGGAAACCAGGAGCGTCTGTTGTCAAACAGCATTTACTTCGTACTGTAACTACGATAGACCGATGGCACAATAAAGACATTCTTCAATTGTGGCAGTTATCACACAATTTATTTCTATGTCTACCAGACCTTGCCAGTGAAATCAACAGAACTATGTCTGTAGTGTAATAACGATGAATCAGTCCAAGTCCACCTTTGTAATGTAAATGTAAAAGTTGGGCAAATGTAAGCCTGTTGGTACTAAATTATGTTAATCATATCTGGCGATCGGCCAACACACACAAAATCAAGCACGTCTTGTTTCATGAGCAGCCACCTGTTGGAAATACTATTCCTACTGTCCCTACTACTACTGCTACTATTATTACTGCTACTATTACTATTGTTACTATAGCTACTCTCGCTACTGCTCCTACCGTTCACACTTCTGATACAACAATTAGTACTACTATTGCTACTACTACCACCAACTTGATAATTACCTTCGCCAAGAAGGTTATGTTTTCGTAGGCGTTCGTGTATCTGTGTATGTGTGTGTCACCACGATAACTCAAGAAGGCTAAAATGTACTTACTTTACTTTACTTTACTTTACTTTAAAATGTAAAATGTATTGTAATGTATTGTCTTGAAAATGTAAAAAATGTATTGTCTTGATATTTGGTAGGTGAGTAGGTCTTGATGAGACGTGAAACTGATTAGATTTTGGGCCCCCTAGCGGCTTGTTACGGTACTGCAGCTTAACTTTCGGTTTCGATATCTCGTAATCTAGACATGCTAGGGTGACGAAATTCAAATGGTACGTAGCTCTTGTGCTGGGAAGAAGTGACGTGAGTTTGGGCCCCCCAGCGGCTTGTTCTGGAACTGCAGGGCTATCTGTTTGAAAATATTCAGAGGATAACTCAAGAACCGGTTGACGGATCCTCGTAATTTTTGGTATGTAGGTAGCTTACGTGATGCTTGATATAATTATGTCACAATTATGCAAATATGGATGTAATTTGCATAATTTATGGAGAAATTCTATATATCAGCTGCATTCCATGATAGGACTATTGAAGCTTGTGACATTGGTAATTGAGAACGAGAGAAACACAATATTGATTATGTAAATGAAGACTTAATTTGCATAATTAATGAGAAAATTTTATAATTATGTAATGATAACTGCCTGGAATTTCATACTTGTGGTATTTGAAAGTTCAGTGAAGGTGAACATCATTAACCATAATGTATTCAAATCAGGACCTCATTTGCATAATTTATGAGGAAATGCTAGAATGGCAACGTTTGTTAATATGTCTGTCTTTTGGTTGAGAATATGATAAATTGATATAATTAATTAAAATGAGGATCCTGTTTGCACAATCAGGGGGATTAATCTACAAATTGTCAGTCATTAACATCATTTGGCGAAGGTACGATGTCGGGGAAATCTAGTTGTATTATACTTTTAGAACAGTCGCGATCGGTTGACCATTATCTGCTTTCAATTAGGTACAGATCAGTTAAGTAAGTTATCATTCTGCATCAACTTTGCGGTCATCCTGGCAGGGAGTATAGTACAAAGCAGTGTTTGTACAGTGTGGAAGCAATACCGGACTTGTTAAGTTAGAAATCACCGGACCGAAAACGCTGACAAAACATTTATGTCGTCAACTCTATATCAAAATCCAGAATTGTCAGATATCCTCTGTATCTAACAAACCCATCTATGTGATACATGGCAAACGTGATACAACTGCAACAACAAATGGAGACGTCGTCTTACTTTGTCAACGTAATGGTACTTGTATATATGTGTGTGTGTGTGTGTGTGTACGTGCGTATGTGTGTGTGTGTGTGTGTGTGTGTGTGTGTGTGTGTGTGTGTGTGTGTGTGTGTGTGTGTGTGTGTGTGTGTATGTGTGTGTGTGTGTGTGTGTGTGTGTGTGTGTACGTGCGTATGTGTGTGTGTGTGTGTGTGAGTGAGTGTGTGTGTGTGTGCGTGCGTGTATGTTTGTGTATGTGCGTGTTTGTGTGTGTGTGTGCGTGTTTATGTGTGTGTGTGTATGTGCGTGTGTGTGTATATGTGCGTGTATGTTTGTGTATGTGCGTGTTTGTGTATGTGCGTGTTTGTGTGTGTGTATGTGCGTGTGTGTGTGTTGTGTGTGTTTGTGTGTGTATGTGTGCGTGTTTATGTGTGTGTGTATCGTGCGCGCGTCGTTGTGTGTGTGTGTGTGTGTGTGTGTGTGTGTGTGTGTGTGTGTCGCGCGTGTGTGTGTGTGTGCGTGTGTGTGTGTGTGTGTGTGTGTGTGTGTGTGTGTTACTACCGATACGTTTTATTCCATTACTTGGCAGTAATAGATAATGTTTGTCAACAACCCGGAGCCGGTCATTGGACCAACCGTCAACCATTCCGGGAAGACCGCCTTGGGTTCTCTCCGTTGAATTTGTGCAGTAATTGATGGTGTGGCAAACACAGATGTTATGCACATCTATGGCAATCGATAATGCGTGGGTCTTCAAGCAATACAGTTGATCATATTGTGCGTGGGTAGAGTCAGAGTCGCGTGTTTCCCTTTGGAACCGTCAATATCACCTCCGTCTCATATTGTTGTCAATATATCCTATATACGGGGCCTTACTTTGTAAGACGATTCGCTTTACATGACGGGTATATCGTTGTTTATCCAATCCACACAAACACTGTCCATACACTCAATCATACAAAATCTCCATTTCCTGCATATTGAAAATATCTATGATCACCTCTACTGAATCCCTAATGCGTTATTTGCAAGCCTGGGGTGAAAATTCTATGTACTCTTCAGTTCTCACTACCGTCACTGTATTGTTTAAATACCTATCAACAATAATTTGGATGATTGAAAATTTCAAAAACAAAACAATTATTGATATGAAAAATGCATCTATAGTTGATGTGGACACGTTTTAACCGTACCATGAATCCCGTGTCCTTTATTTATCGTTCATTAACGTTGGTTACATATTATGTGTTTAACTAATGTTAATGATTAATTATTGATATCATTGCTTAATATATACATATTGCTTCAATATCATTGAATAACGACATTGGTTTTTGGGTAAATAGAACGCGGCCCTGTTTCGTCTGTTATAAATGAGGAGGCCAACCCCTGTCGCGCACCACTGCGCATGTTACATTTGCACATCTTCGGTCGATATCTGATACAGAAATGGGAAGGCTACATTTGTGGGTTGGGTCCAACAATGGATCCAGGTTGGTATAAGAGCCAGTCTAAATTTAGACACAAAGGCGACATAGATTTATCAACGCGCGGAAATGATTACGAATGATATTTTCCTATAGCTTAGGCAATAAAACGTTATGTTGAGATGTGCATTCTCCCTGAGGGGAACAGACTGACACAGAACCGGTGGCAGATTTATGGCGGCTGGAGTCTCTTACATTAGGTCGCTGTTTGGACAAAGCGTATCAGTGCAATAAATTTAAAACACAGTGTTAACGGTTGGTTCCAGCCGTTTTGTTATGAAATTGGAAGAAGCTGCTGAAGTAAGGCATATCCTGCCAGACAACTTCGTTCACGTAATGATGTAAGAAGGTGAAACAGCTACCTACTGGTGGTGGTGGAAGAGGAGAAAGAACTAAGGAGTATGAAGCATTTCTTGTGTAGCGTTAGGGGCGAAAATGGGGGGAGGATTTGGAAAGGTGTTACCTCCATCTCCTCCGGACTGAGCTCCCCATCGCCTCCTCCTGGTCCATCGGAAATACGAGTGCCCTGCATGGCGTGGATACAGGTGTTTCACGATGAGTGAAGAGGAGGCTCCAACACTAGCACCAACACACACCAGCCCCTTCGCTTCCCGGAACCAGCAAGACCTGTCCTCAGACCCCCAAACAAATTCCAGGAAAGGCAGGTAGACCGCTCACTTCACGCTGATAGTGACCAAGCAATTTCCCTCTACAGCGGCTGTTGAATCCATTGGTTCCACAGCTATTATCCACGTTAGAGGAGGTCAGGCTGTGCGGTCACCGAGAACCGCAAGAGCCTTACCAGGCACCCCCGCAAAACCTCAGGCGTCGTAAAATCTCCAGCTCTCACCACGTACAGCGTACAACCTTTCCAAACGGTAGCGGCTCGCGAGTTGTAGACAATCCGGCAGGTTTAGTCGCAGTCTACCGGCGCTGTCCTCTTTTTAAGGTAATAACACCTCCCCTTCAGGCTGCCCACCTCCGGCTGCCCCCACTTCCGTTTTCCAGAAGAGTGGATTTGCGGCTACAGGGGACGAAAACAATAACTACCCAAGTGGTCGGCTCCCTGCAGGGGCGAACCCAAGGCCGAATATGGTTGGATTATCACGGTCAGTGAAAGATTCTAGTTGATTGCTTTCCGATGACAATGTAATAAAACTGGTATAAAAGTGGAGCAATCGACTTAGATGACATATCGTGCCAGGCATCTCATTATCCAGCTGCTGCGGCTTATTTCTTATTAACTTAACAATGATCTATGATGAAGCGCAAAATTAATTAAAAGCGCCAACATTCCTGAGGGACTGCTAGATTGTTTTCAAATATATGCTTCTGCCTAATCCTGCCTGGCTGTACTGTGGTATAGAGGTCCCAAGATTTGATTTTTTGTACAGTTGGACTACCCACAGGAACGTCATAAAAACAAATAGGTGTAAAAACAAATAATGCGTTTCCGCCCTTATTTTCAGCTTTGATGAACTGACGATAGGTGAAATTAAAAACAATATAAACACGGCGCGCAACCTCACAAAATATAACGCAAATATACGCCATTGTATACTTGACACTAGAGTGCACTAATTTGTATCTTCAGCCATCTTATTTAGAAGTTTAAGAGTAGAATAGTCTACACGATATATATATACTTTATATCTTATGAAATAACGACATTTACCATCTCACGGCAGCCAGGGGTTTATTATCTTTCGTTTTTCTTAATTTTGAACAGAACATGCAGCCTCATGTCTACCTGGTGCAGTTTGCCCACCTGCATCAGTCAGCAAGACATGTATAAGCCTTGTTCAACTGAAGTCACCCAAACCGCGATTCGGGTAACTCGCATTCCTCACATCTGGTCCACGTGCCACACATTCCTTTGAAACCGTGTCCGATCACAATTCGCCTGAGCTATATTTATTGTTGTTCGATGAAAACACGCAAGGTAGCGTGTTATTAATGTCAGAGGTCAACGACCTACTTGCTGGTGCCCCCCTCCCAGCGTATCTCGGCTGAATGCCGACGTGGTCCCGCCAGAGGCGGTGAAGCTCGCCCTAGAACGGACACATTATTCGACCATTACTGCTCTTTAAGTTGCTGCCACGTAAAAGTTGGTATTGCATATAAATCAAGAAATATCACCCCGTAATCCATGACCAGGCGAAGTTACATTGAAATCACATTGCGTTCAGACGCAAATCGTGATGCGGGAAAACCGATTCGAAACCACCTCTAGAAGTAGTTTGGGATCGAGGCGCTTTCAATGTGATTTGGAGCGTTCAGATGGAGCCACTTGAAACCGGCTTCGGAGTAAACCACATGTAAAGCGCCTTCACTGACTTCACATGAACACGGCCTTAGTTAAGCGTTTCGGCGGAGGTTTAACAATCTCATTATCAAACAAAAATGTATTCCTTCCTCTTACAGTAATCTATTAAGTTAACCCCACATATGTCAACACCGTACGAGGCACGAATGTGACATTTGATGTTCCTGGAATGGACACTGCGGGTCAGTGATGGAGACTCGAGGTCAGCTGGACAAAAGGTAATCTCCACCTCACACCAAGCTGCAAAATTAGATGTGTCATTCACTTCTCATCTTATAAAGGGATATCTTATAACGGAATGATGAAAATCGGTTACGGCTTGAGTCTTCCAAATCTAACTCATATCCCTTATGTCGATAAAAAAGACTCGATATCTAGACATCTAGACCTCCTGATTTTCACACCAGATATTCAAACATTGATTTTACTTCATAAATTTATTATATTTTTAAAAACATTTTTGGCAGTGTATTGGAACTAGTTATGTTATGAAGTTATTATTTTCTCGACATGGGCAGAAAGCAAGGTGTCAACAGTAAGATAGATTCATTCATTAAGTGAAGAAGTGGAGATTAGGGTAGGAGGTTTGTTAAGGTAAAGGGGACGGTACGTTGTCATTGATTGGACTAAACCATTCTTGAGCGTAGGAGAATACAATCATTCGTACGTAAGCCTGAACCGTAAGCCTTGTTCATGTGAAGTCACCCAAACCGCGATTCGGGTAACTCGCATTCCTCACATCTGGCCCACGTGGCATACATTCCTTTCAAACCGTGCCCGATTACGATTCTCTGAAACAGCATTTATTATTGTTCGATGGAAACACGCTAGGTAGCGTGTTATTGATGTCAGAGGTCAACGACCTGCTTGCTGATGCCCCCCTCCCAGCGTATCTCGGCCGAGGCGGTGAAGCTCGTCCTACAACGGATACATTATTTGACCATTACTGCTCTTTAAGTTGCTGCCACATAAAATTTGGTATTGCATATAAATAAAGAAATGTCACCCCGTAATCCATGACCAGGCGAAGTTACATTGAAATCACATTGCGTTCAGACGCAAATCGCGATGCGGGAAAACCGATTCGAAACCACCTCTAGAAGTGGCTTGGGATCGAGGCGCTTTCAATGTGATTTGGAGCGTTCAGATGGAGCCACTTGAAACCGGCTTCGGGGGAAACCACATGTAAAGCGCCTTGGTTGACTTCACATAAACACGGCCTTAGAACGCAAATGGTGATTCATGAGGCCTGTACGTAGAAACGAGGCATATCAAATTATCATAGTAAAATCATTTTCAACCATTAATGTAAATCATATATCGATTTGATTTTTTCTCTGGAATAGAGTGGGACAGCTCACGAAAGCGAGCTGCAATAGAGCAAGAGTTTGGAGATGTTCCACATGTGTGAGATATTTAGAGCTTTTCTTAGTTTGTTTTTCTGCAAGGAGATCATTTTGACTTCCAAACCGATCTGCCCTTCCTGTCAGTCTGTGGTAACACAATTTTCCCATTCCCGCCATTCCAATGTGTTCAAATAATTACGGAAACAGGAGAGTGCAAAACAACGAGAACGAAGGTAAGGCCGCACCGATTTAATTGTATGGATGACATCCTCTGAAGACACCCAAACTAGTGCGCGCAGGCGAATAAAAAAAATTCCGGCCAAAAATAGAAATGCTACTAGACCACAGGAATACAAAGCTGTATACGACAAGCCGGCACATGCTGGCTTTTTGCTGAATTTATGAATCGGCACTGTACGTGTGTACTGAGTTCTTGAGTCGTGGAGCTTCGGTAGCCTGGGTGCCCGGCTCCATATAGTCGCTAACTACCATGGACTACCCAAGCCTAGAGCCAGGCCAGAGCCTCGGTGGACGTGATCTTTTCTTTTTGGAGAACAGACGAAAATCAATGCGCGCGTGGATGCCATCCATAAAATTAAGGCGGTGTGGCCTAATAAATGCTAGACGTTCAGTAGTGATAAGCCCGGCTAACTACTGACACGATCAGGAACGAGAACGTGAAGACACTGTACACTTTGTCTGTGAATGAGCCTAATATATGTTACCGGTCTTGATGAAATTGCGTTTGTAGCAATTACGATAATAGTAATAATTATAATAACTACTTAATTACAAATCTATGCAAACGAAGCAAAACAAGCGGTATACAATGTGGTTATACTTAACAGCGAAGAAAAGAATTAACTACACGAATGAATTAAACATAAAATAGTAACTAGTCTAAATTTATTTCCACTTTGGCCTCTTTTCTACATGAAATTGAAATGAATTGCCTATTTTTAAAGATCGGATGACTTCCGGTAGAGTTTGTTGATCTGCAAAATTTTGAAATTTAGGAAATTTCTATGAATAGTTTTATCACTTTTTTCGATCCAGGCGCAGCCTGCCCTGGGTACTGATGGTTGGAGGGGCGTTACGACACGCTATCTGACTTTGGCTGCGATCGAAGCCATCAAATTACGTGTGTCCGATGGATCAATTTTGTCAGGTCAGCCGCGACGAACCTCGTGATCCCGTATGTATTATGCTGCGACCCTAAACATTGGACTTCTTCAATAGATGCAATTTGAAGCTATGACCGATGGAAGTTATAGTAAAACCCGCTTGTCTGTGACCAACTGAATAGGTCTTACTCTTCCAGTATATCACGCGGTTCAGAGAACGCTTCGTCAGGTCTGACGCGCCTTACTCCGCAAGAACAAAAACAAACAAGAATTCGGAGATCTCATACCTCCATGAAATATATGAGTTTTTCTAAATGTTTTTACACAGTACACTACAGCACAGAATAAAATAACACAGGTTTTTGGTTTCAAACACACAGTAGCACCTTTGGCCTGGATATGGTCATGTAGACTTTTCCCAAGGGAGAACCTCATTAATCAACACCGGGCAGGCGCTGCCTCCACCCCGCACATCTGTTTTCCCTGCCACCCCGCACATCTGTTTTCCCGGAAGTTCTGCTGAAGTACCAAGGTCAGCCAACAGGAGACCCATATTTGACCTTGACCTTTGGCTTCCTAAGACCTACCAGCATACCAAATATCATCACAATCCATAAAGGCGTTCTGAAGTTATGATGACTACAAATGTGCGGAAACACACACACACACACACACACACACACACACACACACACACACACACACACACACACACACACACACACAGACGTGCCAAAAACAATACCTCCATTTTTCATGGAGGTAATTACAACATCTTCCCTACAGTCTTGTTTGTTAGCTAGGTATTTGTTTGCCTGTTTGGTTGTTTGGTTGTTTGGTTAGTTGGTTGGTTAGTTCGTAGGTTCATTCGTCCGTTGCTACATAGATGGTTTCATCTTACATGTTAACAAATCGTACTTGTTGAAAAATGTACAACAAGATCTTTTTTATCATGCTGCAAATGCAAACACCAAAAATGACAGTCGAGTCGCAGGTGCAATAGACTAATCGGATAAGCAAACTCGTCTGGCCCTGGTCCTACTACCTATCAAGTTTGGTGTATCGTACACAGTGAGAATTAACATTAAATAGTTTAAACTAGAGGTCGGAGATCTCATGCCTTCGTCAGAGGGACAT